AACACACATACAATTAAATCAAAGAAGAAATACAAAATGTATAAACAACATCAGGAATTTTAGGATACAGATCAAGCAATTATCATAACAATAAAAATAAAAACATATCAACTAAATATTTAATTCCTAAAACTAGTAAACCAAGAAAAAGTGGAATAAAAAATTGGAAACATGAAAAAATTAATAAGAATACAAAAAACAGTAGAATTAATTACAAAACATAAAAGACAGTTCTTTGGGAAAAATGAACAAAGAATAAATACTAATCAATAAAGAAAAAAGGAAGAAAGCACAAATATGTTATTATAATTAACAATTAATAACCACCAAAATAGAAGAATAGCATCTCATGGGTATTTCTACCCAATTTTTAAAGATCAGATAATCCAAATGATACTTAAAATATTCTAGTAGATGGACAAAAGGAAAACTTACAAATTCATTTTCTAGTTTGAGTTTTACAACCCAAAAGAGAAAAATCAATTTCACTTACAAATACTTAGGACAAACACTTAAAAGGACAATTAGCAAAGAAAGCCACAAAGCATATTAAAAGTTAATCCATCATGACCAAGTGGAGTTTATTCCAGGAAGGCACAATGGTTCAGCAATATTAGAAAACCTACTCATCTAATCCAGCACGTCAGTAGGGTGTCTCAGTCCATTGGGACTGCTGTCACGAACTACTGCAGGCTGGATGGTGTACAAACAACAGACACTTATTTCTCACAAGGTGCTGGGCCTCTGGTGAGAGCTGGCTTCCTGGTTCACAGGCAGGCAGGTGGTTCCTCCCAGTTTCCTCCCGTGGAGAATAAGGGTCAAGGGAGTTCTCCAAGGTCACTTTCATTAGGGCACTCGTCCCAATCAGGAGGGCTCCACCCTCAGGACCTGATCACTTACCAAAGGACGCACCTCTTAACGCCACCACACTGGGGGTTAGGATTTCAACATATGAATTTTGGGGAGTGTCACAAACATTCCGTCTACAGTACAGAGCTAGAGAGAAAATTATCTAATCGCTTCCAAACATACAGAAAATGTATTTGAAAATAATTTAACATTCATTCATTTTTTTTTTTTTTAATCCTCACCACTGCAATGAACAAAATAAAACAATAAGAAATATAAGGACTGGAGAGAGAAAGGCATGTTCTCTAACATACATTATATGATTAATGTAGAGAAAATCCACATAAACAATTGAAGAAATGCAAAAGAATAAGAGAATTCCATGCCTCATCCCTATTCTGCTCTTACCATCAACTTATACGTGTTCTTTGCACTCCCAGTCACTCAAGTTCAAAAGCAAGAGTATGGTGATTACCAGAGGGAAAGGGGGTGGGAGGTGGTAGAAGAGGGTGAAGGAGGATAAATGGTGATGACAGGACAGCCCAGCAGGTGTGGCTCAGTGGTTGAGCGTCGACTCATGCATCAAGTAGTCACTGGTTTGATTCCCGGTCAGGGCACATGCCCAGGATGTGGGCCAGGTCCCCATTGGGGGCATGCAGGAGGCGGCCAATCAATGTTCTCTCTCATCAATATTTACATCTCTCTCTCCCTCTCTTTCTAAAAATTGATAAAGAAAAAAAAAATTAACCCTGGCCGGTTTGGATCAGTGGTTAGAGCATCAGCCCATGGACCAAAGAGTCGTGGGTTCGATTCTGGTCAAGGGCACGTACCTTGGTTGTGATTCGTCCCCGGCCCTGGTTGGGGTCATGTGGAAGGCAGCCACTCAATGTGTCCCTTTCACGTTGATATTTCTCTCTTTCTCCCTTCCTTTCTCTCCCTCCCACTCTATCTGAACCAAAAATGGAAAAATGTCCTCAGGTGAGGATTTAAAAAAGAAAAAACAGCCCTGGCCGGTTTGGTTCAGCGGTTAGAGCGTCGGCCTGCGGTCCTGAGAGACCCGGGTTCGGTTCCCGCTAAGGGCACGTACCTCGGTTGCAGTTTGTCCCCGGCCCTGGTTGGTTGTGCGGGTGGCAGCCACTCGATGTGTTCCTTTCACATCGATGTTTCTCTCTCTCTCTCTGTTCCTCTCTCTCCCTCCCACTCTACCTGAACAAAAAATGGAAAAATGTCCTCGGGTGAGGATTAAAAAAAAACAAAAAAACAAACAAACAAACAAAAAAAAATGAAAAAACAATGGTGATGGAAGGAGACTTGATTTGGGGTTGTAAATATACAACAGAATACACAGATGATGCATTAGAGAATTGTACACTTGAAACATATGTAGTTTTATTAATCAATGCCATTCCAATAAATTCAATAAAAAAGTAAAAAAATATATACAAACTTGAAAGGATGCCTATCATATTGTGGAAAAAGCAGGATACAAAACTGTATAGTTTCAAGCATCTTAAAAATATATGTGATGGAGTAAAAAGAGACTTCTCACCCCGCCCTCCCCACCACCCCACATCCAACCCTATATCCCTTCCAAGCAATTAAAGCAATATGCTTTTTTGGTTCCGTTTATAAAAAATCATGCTGTCATAACAATATTGATTTTATTTGTACTTTCACAATCTACTTCCCTCCCTATTTTGCAGACCCCACCCTTACTCAGCAGTCTCTAGTCTACAGGTTTTTGTCTCTGAAATGTCCTATCAGTCTTCCTTTTTCATCTACTCTCTACATATAACTTACAAATGGCTTCCAGTTGGTTTAATGTGTAATTTCCTGTGACATAACGTCCCAACTCTTTGCCCTGCATTTCTTGGCCCTTGCTTTACCTTTCCAGCCTCAGTTCTGCCTAACCCTTTATACATACAGTACATTGTTTCGATGGACCAGACTACTGGGTATCTCTTAGACATACCCATACTGTAGCTTTTGGAATACGCTTCCTGGACATCAACATCTCTGAGCATCCTTTCCCTTCACTCACCCATAAGAATACCTAACCCATGTTGTTCGGCATCGTGTAAAATATTCTACGTACACTGCTTTGCACCACGTCACCACAGATGTGACTTCCTCCTCCTCTGAAGTCCAAGTCTCTCTGTAACTGCCTTGGCATTTATGTTTCACGTTTCAGATTTATATCTTTATTTTATCGAGTCTACTAGACTATAAGCTCCAAGAGGGTAGAAAGTGGTTATTGTACATCTCTGTATCATTTGCAACACAGCAGGCGTTCAATAAATAGTTGCTCTAGTGAATAAACTGTGGCTGTCTGGAATATAAAAATTTAGGTTTTAAATTCAACTAAGGGCCTCTCCGTTTTTTCAGTACCGGGCTCTATTCAAATGCGGTAGGGCTGTTCCCTTTTCAGTGCTGTACTCCCAGGGCTAGAACTGGCACCAAGTGGCCCTCAGTAATAATCCTAACTGTCATGGACATGGACAACTAAGCCGGGGATGTGGCGGGGGTGGGGTGGGGAGGGGGGTGCCAATGGGGTAAAAAAGGAGAAATATCTGTAACAAAAAAATAAAAAATTAAAAAAAAAACAATAAAGGAATTAATAAGGAAAAAAAAAAGAATTGAGCTCTTAGGGCAGCAAATTTTGATTGTTCTGTGTACTGTCTCTTAGATTATGTTCTGGCACAAATAATATTTTGTCAAATAAATTTGTTTAATAAAAAAATGGCAGCTTTTTGTGGTAGCAGTAATGGGTTTTCCTACTCATTTATTAATTTATGTGAAGATTTGACTGTGATGCAGGCACAATTCTAGATACACAGAATATAACAGTTTTAATGTGCATGGAAAACATCACCCTATGCCTGCTATATAATTTTCCCAAAAAGAAACTGTAAGACCCTGACCGGTGTGGCTCAGTGGATTGAACATTGTTCCGTGGACTGAGAGGTCCCAGTTCAATTCCTGGTCAGGGCTCCTGTAGAAGGCGTGCAGGAGGCAGCCAACTGATGTTTCTCACGTTGATGTTTCTATCTCCCTCTCCCTTCCTTTGCCTCTCTAAAATACTCAATAAAAAACATATAAAAAAAATAATCCTAACTGTATGGCTGCACAAAATGAAGTGAATGCTAATAATGCAAAGAAGCAAGGGGCTCCTTAACGATGACAGGAGCCAGCATCAGGGTCAGCCCATCATTTTCCAGTTTGCATCGACCATCTTCTAGGCCAGGTGTTTGTAATCTCTCTTGGTTTATTAGCACAAAATTTAAAAATAAATGAATGTGAGCAAATTCCTGGAGCCTCTCAATTCTGCTACGATGACAGACGTCTCTAGCTGTGGAAGGGACAGGTGCCTGCAGACGGGGCCTTCCAGGTCCCAGACTGGCACCGGCTGCACGGGAAAGCGAGGACTGCTGCCCTGCTCCCGGTGAATCCTTACGCACGTGCTGTGCGGCGATGTCACTGCCATTGGTCACCTCTGGTCTTAAGAACCCAGTGAAGCTGGTCAGTTACAGGCAATGCCACCTTCAGTGCCGCGATTGGAACCGACAGCATCAGCCGTTAACGTCCCAAACCGCGTTGGCTGCCTCCGGGAGGCAGGGGTCCCAGGTCGGCGGCGGAAAGCCGGGGCGGCTGCCGGGAGGCGGTGGCTTCTTCGGCCCCTCCCCCTCCAAGGAGCTCCATTCACCCAACTCGGACACATCTGACAAAGGCGAGACCCAGCGCGGCGTCAAGCGCCGCTTCCAATCGCGACACGTCAGGACACACTCCACACTACCTCGCTGGGCTGCCGCTTTTAAGGGCTAAACAACGAGATACAGGCGTCGCCGGACCACCTCACCGAAGCACCGAGAAAGGAGGGAGTACAACCCAGGGCACCCGAGGTGGGGCAGCAGGGCGGGGGGCGGAGTTTCGGAGGGGGCGGGTCTCCGTGGCGAAACCCCGCCCCTTGCACGTCGCTGATTGGTGGCAACGGTAGGCCGGAAAAAGGGGCGGGCCCGCGCGCGGCCCTGTCTCTGCCGGTCGGCGCGGTCCTGCCGTCAGGTGGGTGTGTCCCGGGCGGCGGGTGCGCGCGCGCGCTCACGTCGGAGGACCGGAAGGGAGGCGGGGCCGCGGCGGCGCGCGCCCCTGGAACGCGCGCAGCGCAGGCGGCGCGGATCGCAGGGAGCCGGTCCGCGGCCGGAACGGGGTCTCGGGTGTGCGTGTGCGACAGAACTCCGGGGACACGGCCACGATGAACACGGTGCTGTCGCGGGCGAACTCGCTGTTCGCCTTCTCGCTGAGCGTGATGGCGGCGCTCACCTTCGGCTGCTTCATCACCACCGCCTTCAAAGACCGGAGCGTCCCGGTGCGGCTGCACGTCTCGCGGATCATGCTGTGAGTGCGGCGAGGCCCGGCCGGCGGGCGGGCGGCTGCACCGGGCCGGGGTGGGGCGGGCGGGGCGCAGGCCGGGCCGCCGCGGGACCCCGCTCTGCGCGGCCTCCGGCCCCCAGGCCACGCGTCCCGGGAGACCTCGCGGGCTGTGCCGCGACTCCCACCCTCCGCCGCAGATTCCCGGGCTTGCTCTTAAATTTTAATTTTGAGTGGAGCCCAGGTCAGTGCCTCCGCTTCCTTCCTGTTCCTCACTTCCCTCCGCCCACGCCCGGCCAATGAGGGAGCAACACAACAGCACGCCCGCCGCCGCCCGCCGGCCCCCGCCCGCGCCCGCGCCCGATCCCGCCGGCCGGGTCCCCCGCCCCGAGTCCCCGCGCCCGATCCCGCCGGCTGGGTCCCTCGCGCCCGATCCCCGCCGGCTGGGTCCCCCGCGCCCGCCTCCCGGCTGGGTCCCCCGCGCCCGCCTCCCGGCTGGGTCCCCCGCGCCCGCCTCCCAGCTGGGTCCCCCGCGCCCCGAGTCCCCGCGCCCGATCCCCGCCGTCTGGGTCCCCCGCGCCCCGACTCCCCGCGCCCGATCCCCGCCGGCTGGGTCCCCCGCGCCCCGAGTCCCCGCGCCCGATCCCGCCGGCTGGGTCCCCCGCGCCCGCCTCCCAGCTGGGTCCCCCGCGCCCCGAGTCCCCATGCCCGATCCCCGCCGGCTGGGTCCCCCGCGCCCCGACTCCCCGCGCCTGATCCCCGCTGGCTGGGTCCCCCGCGCCCCGAGCCCCTGCGTCCACAACCCGGCAGGGTGCCTCGCGCCCCATCCCCACCGCGGCAGGTGCTGGGCCATCGCCCACCCGAGTGTGCCCCGTGGGACGTTCCCTCTGCCGGGTTGGTCTTTGCCCCTCGGTGGCTGTCAGTGCAGCTGCTTTGAAGTTGGCGAGAACGCAGGGGTGCACGTGGGGAATCCGGCATCTGGGCTCCCCGGAGCGGCGTGGTTTTTCTGTCTTACGAGCCAGCCGCGTGAATAAGTGTGCGAAAATGCCAGGAATAGACTTTCGAAATGACGTGGGCATTTAGCCGTTGCCTATTTTTTTTTTTCTTTGATAATTTTCATTCCCCAGCACTTTTTTCTTTGACACGTAGGATTTTTCTTTGCTTTTGGTTCTATCTTTCTTCTGTATTCCATCTTCCAACAAGTTCTCTCTTTCTTCAACCTTAATTTTCTTGATTTGTCAGAATCTCCAACAAGCGGGTCAGCCAATCACTACCGCACCGCCCTCCCCCGCACCCCCGTGCTTTTTTTTTTTTGATAAGGTGATGCTTGTTAGATACTATGTTTTAGGTTCAAAAATCATTCCTTGGGTACAAATGAGCTCTGCTCCTGCCAACTCGTTTTTTTTTTTTTTTTTTTTTTTTTAAGAGCTTGATGCATAGTAAACACCAAACAACTCTTAGCTTTTGTTCATTTTGAGCCAGTTTCTTACTACTCTGGGCCTTAATTTCCTTTTGTCTAAAATGGAAGTACTACCCAACGAGTAGGCTTTGAGATAATTGTGAAATATTCGTAATGGACTTGACACAGACACACAGTAAGCACTCAGTGAAAAGTAGGCATCCTTTTATCTTGGTTTCCCACACCTCCTTTAGGCACGGGGCCTTTGTCCCACGCATGCTGGCACATGGCCCGATGTCAGGTATCAACACTTCTCTTTGAGCAGTTTTTATTTCCCCCTGGGTTTTGTTAGGGGTTCTTTTGAGGTACATGAACATAGCTGAAGACCGACTTTTATGTTGAATGAGAAAGTTTATCCTGATTTCACACTTATGGGTTTCTCTGATTTTTCATTTGTTTCTTGGTGGAATTGCTGTTTCCCCTGTCTGTCACTTTGTGTAAGGAATTCCTTGTGTGCTATGTTTACGGGATGCTAAAACCTTTATCTTTACTTCTAGAAAAAATGTAGAAGACTTCACTGGACCTAGAGAAAGAAGTGATCTGGGATTCATTAACTTTGATGTGACAGCAGATATCCTTTAAGAAATGATTTCATTGCCTTTTCTATAGTTTTATAACGACATGCAAGTTGTTTAGTGATTTGGGGGACAGTATGACTACCAGCCAAACCTTGGAAATTTCTAGGCTTATGTTTTCATCAGTGAAATTGTGATACCTCCTCCTTCACACCTGGAGGAAACATTCATAAGTATTTTCATAACAAGAGTCAGAGAAATCGTAACAGTTAAAATTTGAGTTGCCTTAAAATGGGGATGATTTGAATACTTTATCTTAATTTTCCTCTTTTGACAGCTCTTATCATTTTGGCCTGTTTATTCTCTGCCACCTGAAGCCCGATCTCACTGCCTTTTGAAAACCCAGGGTTAAAATGGGTTCTGGAGCTGAACTGTCTGAACTTGTGTACAGCAGCTGCCTGGACCACTGCAGCAGGGCCTGGGCCTGGGCGGGTAACCTGCGTGACTACCACGGCATTACTTTTAAGTCATATTTTTTAGAAATAAATTATTGGGTTTAGAAGTAGACTAGAAATTAGTTCTATGGGCACTTTTTTAGGAAATAGAGTACACCATGAGAAAAGTCCTATGTATACTAAACTTTGCTTGTAAGTGTTCATATCATTTAAAAAATCTCTAGTATAAAAGTAGTAGCTTCGTGTGTTTGGACTAGTGATTTTCAACCTTTTTCATCTCATGCCACATATAAAGTAATTACTAAAGTCCTGCAACATACCAAAAAATATATCTTTTGCCAGTCTGACCAAAAAAATAAGTTTAATTTTGATTGCTTTACAAAAATAATAATAATAATAATAATAATAATAATAATAATGGTAATTACCTACCCTTTTTGCTCCAAAGTAACTTTTTAAAGAACTGGGTGCCTATACTTGTATATACGGATTTCTGGTACCAAGAATTAACCAATCGGATGCAACCTTATTATGCGACAAGACCAATAAGATGCAACTCTGTTATATGACCTATATGTTTATAGGTCAAGACGGGGCATTCATACCAGATGGCTGTTGTCATTTTTTTATTTGACAGTCTAAGGGAACAGAGGTCAGTGCCCCTGGCTAAATAGTCAGGTATTTCATGTTAGAAATCCCTAAGGCACACCAGTTGAAAATTGTTGCTCTAGGGCAATGGTTGGTTCTCAAAGTATGATTCCTGGAAGCATCAGCATCAGATCACCTGGAAACTTGTTAAAAATACAAACTATGAAGCTCCACCCCATTCTCAGTGAATCAGAAACTCTAGCGGTGGGCCTCAGCGGTCTGGTTTTGTTTTGTTTTTTCTTTATTGATTTTATAGAGAAGAAGTGAGAGGGAGAGAGAGACAGAAACATCGATGAGAGAGAACATCGACTGGCCACCTCCTGCACGCCCCCCACCGGGGATCGGGCCCACAACCTGGGCATGTGCCCTGACCGGGAATCGAGCCGGCAACCTCTTGGTGCAGGGTCGACGCTCAGCCACTGAGCCACACCGGCAGGACTTGTTTTGCTTTTTAATCTAAGGATATAGTTTTTTGTTTGTTTTGTTTTTTAATTTGAAAATTTTTAAAAAATAATTTTATTTATTTATTTATTTGTTTTTTAGAGAGAGAGAAACACAGATGTGAGAGAGACACATCAGTTGGCTGCCTCCTGCACACCCCCTACTGGGGATCGAACCAAAACCTGGGCATGTGCCCTGACTGGGATTCGAACTGGGGCCTCTCAGTCTAATCCATGGAACTACACCAGCTGGGCTCTTTGTCTTGTTTTTTAATTGATTTCAGAGAGGAAGAAAGAGAGAAACATCAGTGTGAAAGAGAAACATAGATCAGTGCCTCCCATGTGCACCCAGACTGGGGAATAAACTTGAAACCTGGGTGTGTGCCCTGGCCAGGAATGGAACCCTGGATCCTTCGGTGCACAGGAGGACACTCAACCAACCGAGCCACACTGGCCAGGGGTCGGCTGTCTGTCTGATCAGCTTTCCCGGTGATTCTGACGCACACTCAGTTTGACCAGCACTGGTCTAGGGCAGCGATTTCCAACTTCTTTCCGCTCATGGCACACACACTAATTACTGACGTTCTGTGGCCCACCACAAAATATGTTTTTTTGTTGATCTACAAAAAAAAAGTATAATTTTGAGTCATTCACACCAGACGGCTATTGTGTTGGTTATTGTCATATTTTAATTTGACAATTCTAACAGAAAAGAGGCCAGTGCCCTTGACTAAATATTCTGGTGTTGCATGATCCCACTTATATGGAATAGAAAGAGAAACATGGATACATGCAACAGACTGACAGCTGGCAGAGGAGAGAGATTGAGGCTCTGGATGAAAAAGTGCATGTACGGCCCTGGCCCGTGTGGCTCAAGGTGTTGGGCATCATTCTGTGCACTGAAAGGTCGCTGGTTCGATTGGGGTCAGGGCACATGCCGGGGTTGCAGGCTGGATCCCTGGTAGGGGTGTGCAGGAGGCAGCCTGTCACATAGATGTTCCCCCCTCCCTTCTTCTCTCTCTAAAAATCAACAGAAATGTTTTTAAATGACACCTAGACACAGACAGCCGTGTGGAGAATGCCAGAGGGAAATTGGTAGGGGCATTAGGAAGGTGGAGGTTGGCAAGGGGGGAAGTGAGGACAGAAAGAGACTGCTTGGGGCGATGATGTTTGAGTTGTACACTTGAAACCTAGACGGTTTGTGAACCAATGTCACCCTGTAAATTTAATTTAAAAAATATTGCAATACACTGGTTGAAAATCACCGGAGTGGACAATTATGGTGAAATTGCCTGATATCTCAACTGCCATGTACATGTGCCGTACGTACGCTAGGTGTCAGAGTTTGTGACCTAGTCAGATTTTCTTTAAGACTGCTAACTGAAACTTGAAATTGTGCCTGCTCTTAAAAAGAGCTATCCTAGACCTCTCAATTCTAAAATAGTGATTAATGATGGATACACATACTTGTGTTGCTATCAGTATGTAAACACATATAATAAATGACTTAACCATTTACATGTAATAATAAAACCCAAACGTTTACTCGGTTCCTTTCTTAGTGACCCAGTCTTGTAATTAATCCTGGTGACTTTTTTTTTTTCACTCTAGAAAACTGATGAAACCGAATTGGTGTCCCACTGCCGGTTCTACCAAAGCAGTTCATGGGCTGAGATGTTTGATCTGCTGGCATGTGTCCAAAGCCACATACAAGTTATCATACTTGGTTTAATTACTTGAGCCTAGTTTATGTCTGCATATCATTACATTTGAATTGTGATGATTGGTTATACTTCAGAAACGTTAGTGAAACCGTCTGTGCTTGAAACTAAGCCCTCTTTTACCTTTTATATATTTTTATTGAATTAGTGGCTCAGTATGTTTCTGGACAGCCTCTTTTTTTCTCTTTTACTATTAGTATTGCTATGAGTACTTAAGAATAACTGATCTGTTTTAGAGTTATTTGCTGCTTTGTGATTTATAGATTCCTTAATTTGTTTACATCTAGAGAATATATTTGATTGGAATGTTAAGCAGTTGTTTCTTTATTTATCAGCAGAATATTCAACAAAAAATAATGTAAGTATAAAAATAATGTATATATAGAAGTATGTTAGTAAATATGTAACCTTATTTTTTTTTTTTTTTTTTTATCCTCATCCGAGGACATTTTTCCATTTTTTGTAGAGTGGGAGGGAGAGAGAGGAAGAGAGAGAGAGGGAAACATCGACGTGAAGGGACACATCGAGTGGCTGCCACCCGCACGACCAACCAGGGCCGGGGACAAACTGCAACCGAGGTACGTGCCCTTAGCGGGAACCGAACCCGGGTCTCTCCGGACCGCAGGCCGACGCTCTAACCGCTGAGCCAAACCGGCCAGGGCTGTAACCTTATTTTTCATGAAAAAAAATATCAATTTTAAATATTCAAACATCTGACCCGAGTAGGGGAGTGGAAGTCACACCTCTGCGAGGTGACTGTCCCGGGGAACACTGTCTCCGGTGGCAGCCTGCGGCCTCCTGGTGCAGAATGGGGCACGTCCATCGGTATCTAAAGAAAACAAGCTACTGTTCCTTCTCTTAGGGATCTAAGCAGAGTTGCAGTTTTTCAGTTTACTGGCCTTTTGACTTGATGTTAGGTTGGTGCAGCACCTTCTAAGCTCCTCGGAAACCACAAGTCTATTTGTGTATTTCTCCATTTAAACTGAAAGGGGAAAGAAGTTAAACTTGACTCATAACTCTGTGGACTGACATCATGCTCAGTCCCTAAGCCGGCTTGGTCACGTGCTTCCTTAATTTTTTTTGTTGTTGTTCAGATAGAGAGGAAGGGAGAGAGCGGGAGAGAGAGAGAGAAACATCGACGTGAAAGGGACACATCGAGTGGCTGCCACCCGCACAACCCTACCAGGGCCGGGGACAAACCGCAACCAAGGTACGCGCCCCCAGCAGGAACCGAACCCGGGTCTCTCCGGACCACAGTTCGACACTCCAACCGCTGAGCCAAACCGGCCAGGGCTTATATTTTATTTTATTCATTTATTTAATCCTCACCCGAGGACAGTTTTTCATTTTTTGTTCAGATAGAGTGGTAGGGAGAGAGAGGAAGAGAGAGAGAGAGAGAGAAACATCGACGTGAAAGGGACACATCGAGTGGCTGCCACCCGCACGACCCAACCAGGGCCGGGGACAAACTGCAACAGAGATACGTGCCCTTAGCGGGAACCAAACCCGGGTCTCTCTGAACCACAGGCCGACACTCTAACCACTGAGCCAAACTGGCCAGGGCGAGGTCACGTGTTTCCTAAAGCACGTGCATCCTCTGAGGTGGAGGAGGAGTGGTGTTGGCAAGAGGTCGACCAGGTGCTCTCTGGATTCACTATTCATTCACGTTCAGCACTGTGCAGGGTTTCACAGTGTGTACCCAGCTAAGTGGGCCATAGTGTCTAATCTTAAATACACTGATCCCCGCAAGACAGAAAAATGACTTTAAAAGACTCCTGCAAAGATACCGCAGATTGGAGATAACGCCGGTGGTCCCAGCACACGCCAGCAGCAGGAACCTGGCTCAGCGGTGTGTCTGGTCCTCTTGTGAGCTGCTCGGCCACAGCAGAGGGTTAAGCAGAAAGGACCCAGAGAGATTTGGTCAAACGTTGGCTGAGAAAATTCAACACTAGTCAAGAAGACTCTTTGCAATGCACATTTACATTTATTATAGATGTTCGTATTGTTGAGGGTTGATAACATTGTGTATTAGGTACATAGTTTGTAAATAAAGTTGCATATTTGGGGGTTTGTGTTCAAAATAATTTTAGATCGAAAACCTCTGGAGACCACTTCCAGTGATCAAATCGAGAAGATGTGGTTGACTTTCAGCGTGTGCGGAAATGGGAGGTGGCATTGCCGCCCGGCCGTGGGTTCCCTGAGCAAAATATTCTCTCTCGACAGCTGTAATTAAAAAGACAGACGGCAACACATTTGAATTAACAAAATTTGTGATCTGTGCTTATAACTCTGGTTACCCAGACATATATATATAGTACATGGTTTGAGCTGTTTGGATAGTCTTATGAAGCCATACCTATACAATGAATAAATATCTGTTTTGAGAATTTTTTTTGTTTTGGAGTTGTATGGGATTTACCAATTTGAGTATTTAAGGTAGTCTTTTCTTTTTTTAAGGTTTTTAAATTAGTTTTTAGGGAGACAGGAAGAGGGAGACAGAAACTTCAATCAAACTTCAATCGGTTGCCTCCTGCTCGCCCCCTAGTGGGGATGAGCCCACAAGCTGGGCATGTGCCCTGACCGGGAATCGAACTGGCATCCTTTTGGTACATGGGATGACGCCCAACAAACTGAGCCATATTGGCCAGAGTTTAAGGTAGTCTTTTTAATCAGAAATTAGAGTTTTATCAGAAGTTTTATAATTAGAAGCTGTTGAACTATTAGGTGAAAATATATTAAAACACTGTTGGTTTGTGGTGGAAATTTGTTAGTTCAGTCTGCTTTCCGGCTTCTGTTGCAGCCAGGGTAAGGCTGGAGCTATTTGTACGGAATTTCACCAAAACAGAAACCTTAGGTCCTGAATTATAGAGTGGATGAATCTGATAAGGGAATTAGAACACAAGGCGAGATCTGGGGAAGGAGCTGTGCTCTCTACCCTAGTACCTTATGTTTGCTGTCAACATAGACTGGAGGTCATTTGTGGTTAGCAATGAGTCTGCTTCTGTATTTCATTTGAGGTGTATTCACTTTCAAGGGATGACAAATTAACCAACTTCATCTTTTTGGGTTTTTTAGCTCAGTGTAGTTTTTAGCACTTCGTTCATTTCATCGCAGGTCGTTTATTCTGAGCATCTCTTTCATGCCAGGTATTTTGTTAGGCCCTGGGAGGAGTGGGCGGAATAACCTTGCCCTTGAGAATCAACAGTGTCAAAACAGGAAAAGCTCTTCTGAACATAAGAGTAACAACCAGAAACACACATATTATTCCACAAGTCTCAACAAATCATTCAAATAAATAGGCCATTTTCTTGGTGACAGATATACCTAAATTATATTTCTGGTTTGAGTTCACCCCAGCATGACTAGTAAGTTAATTCAATTTGAAATCCGACAGATTATTGCTTCAGTGAGTGAATAAATACACGTGGAAGATCATTTCACATTGGCACGCCCCGATTCTGTGTTGTGACGGTTATGCCGAATGTCAGGAGACTCGCGGGTGCTGATGTGCACCCTCCTGTAGAAATAACTTCTGCGTTTCTTTTCAGTCAGCACGCTGCGCAGTTGGCAACACAAGCCAGTGGGTGTTCAGGGAGAACACAGTTCTTGGGACTTAGTAGTGATCACAAAAATGTGTTTTCTCTCCGTTTTATGCCCCTAATTTTCCAGTTTGCTTATGATATGTCAAAATAGTGGCTTGAAAGGTTGTCTCACTTCTAGAATTTTGCCATAATAAAACAGAGATGTGCCTGTGTTTTATTTTAATGTAAAAATATATATACCCAAACGCCTTCATTTCTTTAGTGATCCTTGGTGATTGAAGAATCTGCGAGGTACATAAATCGGCTGATGTGACTGGCCACAGTGACCTGTGTTGACATGTGATGGGACTGTTCGCGGGCTCCACGCAGGGTGCATCCTGCAGGAGGCTCAGAAAGTGACAGAGAAGGGATTTGAGAAGGCTTCCTTCCAGGGATTCTGGTCCCTTCTGTTTCTCCAAGGGCCTTACTCTGGGGAGCATATAGGTCTGAAATCTTGTATTAAGATTTAAGGACCCTAAATAGTTGCCTTAGAAGAAAGAATGATTTTCGTTAGAGAAATATCTTTTCTCTAAGAAAAGGTCGAACCCCTACCTCTTATATCTATCCACTTGTTACCATTTTGTGTGTTTGAAGATTTTAGCAGTCCCCTCAAAGTTGGGTTCATTGATAATAAATTAAACTATTTGCTTACCAATACTTTTAATTTGAAGTGACAAAGAAGCTATTCCTGCTGAGCTAATCTAGTTCATTTTCATCTTCATGCAGGCTCTGAACCAAGTTGTCCTTTGGGACAAGATTGTTCTGAGAGGTGATAATCCGAAGCTGTTGTTGAAAAATATGAAAACGAAGTATTTTTTCTTTGACGATGGAAATGGTCTCAAGTGAGCAATTCTTTGTCTTTTTTTTCAGTTAACGAATCTGAAGGAGGGAAAGATGGGTTGTTATTTTTAAAGGGAAATATTGGAGGGTAGAAGAGGAAGATGCAGCCTGGCTGGGAAGGTGGCGTGGAGACGCTGCTGTGCGCGGGGATCTGAGGTCGGCCCCGGGTGGACCGTCGGCTCCAGGTGGACCGTCAGCTCCGGGTGGACCGTCAGCCCCGGGTGGACCGTCAGCCCGCGGACAGCTTCTGCTCTGGGGCTGGCCTGGCTCGTGGGAGCGGGACTCGGTGGCACAGGCCACGTGGGATGGAAGAGGAACTTGCCGGGGAAACAGCGCATCGGCCCGGTTGAGACAACTGTGGTTCTCTTAACTTCTCTGAACCTGTGTCCTGCACAGAGTGAAGGAACTAGAACAACCGATCTGGGTCGTTGTTAGCTCTCCCACTCTGAAAGCTGTGTTCAGGTTTGCCCGTGGAGACACGATGGAGTTGGGGTTCGCAGCACTGTCTTCGATTCCCACTCCGATCTGTGTTGCCCTGTGTGGTCCTCATTAGGCTTAGGGTTGGTAGCGCCGGAGACTAGTGAGCGCAGGTGGTCAGGGCCGGACACCTGTGTACAGGCCCGCCTTTCCAGTGTCCTGGGCTTCTAGAAGACTCCAGGTAACTTCTGTGTGTAGAGTAGGGTTCCCGATAGGAGTAGCTGCTTATACATAACCTGACACCTCAGGGCTTGAATTAAACTGTTTTTATTGAACTGCAAGTGTTTCTGCTGACATCTGTTTGTTTCATCTTTCTCCAGGGGAAACAGGAATGTCACTTTAACCCTGTCTTGGAATGTCGTGCCAAACGCTGGGATTCTACCTCTTGTGACAGGATCAGGGCACGTGTCTGTCCCGTTTCCAGATACCTATGAAATTATGAAGAGTTATTAAATTATTCTGAATTTGAAACAGCATATTTTTATACTTAACAAATCGTATCTCATTCATGTCCTCCCTTGCATCTGCATTTGGTTTTGGTTGTTAAGTTAATTTTTTTTAATAAGAACTAACATCAGAAGGCATATTTGAAGGGGAAGGTTAATGTGCTACTTAATTTTACAATCAAAACAAAGGAAAAGAAGGCCGCCAGAGTGGAGTATTGTAAGAATAAGAAAGCTACACCACAGGAGTTGTCCAGTTTATCTTTGCCGTGTTCCCTGTGTTCCCATTGTTGACGGACTGGAGGGAGCGTGACGGGCCACAGCGTCAGGGGCAGTGGGCCTGCGGGAACTGTTGTATGCCTTGGGCTTGAGCAGTTCACACTGCGTGTGATTCGGTGGTCAGCCTCTTGGAGCTCCTCGGGGCTGTCGGGCCTGGAGACATTACTGTGGGCATTGGGGAGAAGCCTGGTTTACAGAAGAGCCAAGAGGGTGGGGATTGTGTCCATGTGTCTTAGGAAGGCCCATAATGCTTGTTTTCTTACAGGTGACAAGCAACTTTCTCCACTTAAGGAATAAATACCTCCTTCTATGCTGTAAATCGTTGTAACTCATCCTACAGTCTCTTAAGTCGACTAAATGTGTGTCTTTGCTGTGTGTTCGAACGTTCCTTTGTGTACGGCCTTGTGTGGTCCTTAGTGTTGCCGTTGGAAGTGGAGATGTTTGCATGGTTCCCTGAGTGACGTCGGTTCTAGTGAGCATGCCTAGTGCCACCGAGTGGTAATTGTTAACATTTTCTGTGGGCCCACGTTTGAATTACTACTGGGGCAGTAGTAATGTGTGTTGGTGTTACGAGCACTCGTGCATTTCACTGTCGGTTCTTCAGTGAGCTGACGAGTGAGTGGTGCCGGGAGCTCACTGCGGTGGCAGACGGAGCCCAGAGGCGGCTGCCGGGTTTGCTCCGCACAGCCGGCAGGGAAGGGAGTCGGGGCCTGAGCTCGGATCTGCTTCTCCCAGCTCGGTGTCCTCTCGCCCGCAGACCCCAGGCGAACCACATGCGCACGTGACCCACCGCATCTGCGGCCCCACACGCTTGCGGGTGTCCTAGCGGAGTTTGCCATCCGTGGGGAGGTGACCCGGCCCTGTCACAGAGGTGACAGCTCGCTTCAGTCTGCATAACTTAATTTTACTTCTGTTCAAAGTACAAGAATCCAAATGTGTAAAAGTAATTTAGAGATTGAACACAGGATAATACGTGATGGGCATGTGGTCGTACCTAACGAGTTCTTTCCGGAATGGGCAGGGGGCCGGCCACAGGAGACGGCTGCCCGCAAGGTGCCCTGCAAGGCCCCGCCAGCTGCCCCCAGGGGCACGAACGGCAGTGCGAGCTGGCAGCCGACTTGTCGGGCTCGCTAGGGGGAAGCACCTCAATCCATCCTCCGGCCTCTGCGTCCGGGAGCCTGTGCGTGGGCGGGGCGGGGGCGCGGTGGCCTGGGGCCCGACTTGGCTCCCAGCCTGCTCATTGACCTTCGCAGGGTCTCCTTTCTCTTCCTGCAAAGGGACCGTCTGGATGGCTCCACACACCACACAAGCCTCTAGGGGACCGTGTAGTGTCCAGCAGAGATTGGGCGCCCAGCACCTTAGTAACGCGCAGCTCAGGCAGGTGCGGGAATGACCCGTGTGTAACCATCCGGATCGGACTTCATTTCTGTTGGTTTCACCCAGAGATCACTGCGTGGTTAGTACAAGTAGACGTGGAAACTCGGCGTCCGTAGGCACCCCGGCCCGAGCCGTGGGCACGCCCTTTCGTGGAAACTCGACGTCCGTAGGCACCCCGGCAGGAGCCGCGGGCGCGCCCTTTCGTGGAAACTCGACGTCCGTAGGCACCCCGGCCCGAGCCGTGGGCACGCCCTTTCGTGGAAACTCGACGTCCGTACGCACCCCGGCCCGAGCCGTGGGCACGCCCTTTCGTGGAAACTCGACGTCCGTAGGCACCCCGGCCCGAGCCGTGGGCGCGCCCTTTCGTGGAAACTCGACGTCCGTAGGCACCCCGGCCCGAGCCGTGGGCACGCCCTTTCGTGGAAACTCGGCGTCCGTAGGCACCCCGGCCCGAGCCGCGGGCGCGCCCTTTCGTGGAAACTCGACGTCCGTAGGCACCCCGGCCCGAGCCGCGGGCGCGCCCTTTCGTGGAAACTCGGCGTCCGTAGGCACCCCGGCCCGAGCCGCGGGCGCGCCCTTTCGTGGAAACTCGGCGTCCGTAGGCACCCCGGCCCGAGCCGTGGGCGCGCCCTTTCGTGGAAACCACGTCCGTAGGCACCCCGGCCCGAGCCGTGGGCGCGCCCTTTCGTGGAAACTCGACGTCCGTAGGCACCCCGGCCCGAGCCGTGGGCGCGCCCTTTCGTGGAAACTCGACGTCCGTAGGCACCCCGGCCCGAGCCGTGGGCGCGCCCTTTCGTGGAAACTCGGTGTCCGTAGGCACCCCGGCCCGAGCCGTGGGCGCGCCCTTTCGTGGAAACTCGACGTCCGTAGGCACCCCGGCCCGAGCCGTGGGCGCGCCCTTTCGTGGAAACTCGACGTCCGTAGGCACCCCGGCCCGAGCCGTGGGCGCGCCCTTTCGTGGAAACTCGGTGTCCGTAGGCACCCCGGCCCGAGCCACGGGCTCGCCCTTTCGTGGAAACTCGACGTCCGTAGGCACCCCGGCCCGAGCCGTGGGCGCGCCCTTTCGTGGAAACTCGGTGTCCGTAGGCACCCCGGCCCGAGCCACGGGCTCGCCCTTTCGTGGAAACTCGGCGTCCGTAGGCACCCCGGCCCGAGCCACGGGCGCGCCCTTTCGTGGAAACTCGGTGTCCGTAGGCACCCCGGCCCGAGCTGTGGGTGCGCCCCCCTTACAAGAAAAGGCGCAGTGCAGTCCCTGGTCCGGGCCTCCGAGGAGAGGGGTCTCTTGGTTCCCTGGGGAGAGTGTTGACGTTCACTTGAGCTGTAATGTCCGGGCCCACTCACTCCTCTGGAATTTGGTGAGGACGGGGATTCTACCAGCCCAACCAGCACGATGTATCCGTTGTCTTTTGTTTTTACTTAACTGCAGGGAGCTGCTCAGGACAAGGGTCCCCCAACGTGGGAATAAGGAACCTCTGTCTCAGGAACATTTTCTGGGCATGTGCAGCTTTGTTAGTTTTCCGTGATTCTACATTAAAAAAAATTAGACTTGTGTTCACTTTGTAACCTTATCATCTGCCTTAGCACCACTTTTAAAGAAGTCTTACAGAGTCTCCACGAAAACCCCAGTCTTCAGACTCAGAGACCTGAGTGATTGGAGTGTGTGGGCCCAGAGGTGTTCTGGGGAAAGGGAGTAACCGCAAGACACTTACCTGAAGTCCTCCTGATGAGAAGCAGGTGAATTTGAACGCGGGTGCTGACATCCGCCCTCCTCAGCTAAACGCCAGACGAGCAGCTACAGCAGCGTTTGATCCCAATTGACATCCGCTGTCTTCGTGCTTAACGGAAAATGAAACTTCAGAAACTCCTTAGGGTGTAACACAAAAGTGGATTTTGTTTCTCGGAGTCGTTTTACAGTTCTCTGTGGCTCTGGCCAGCCTAGGGTCAGCTCTAAGAGATGGGCTCTAGGGTGATCATGAGCTTCTCCTCACTGTTCTGTCCAAAGCTCTGGATCTTTGGGTGTGTTAGGGGAGGTGTTATTTCCTAAGACTTTGAATGGATGTGAAAGGGGCTTATGGGGGGAAGCCATGAGCTTGGGTAGCAAACATCTGTCCATTTCAGAAGCTCTCCCTGCGTTGAGCAGGCAGCCTGTGTGTTATCCGACTGCTAGCTGTTAGAGACCTGTTTCAGAAAGTCCCTGCGTGTTCCGATGTAATTCGGGAAATGGATTACTTCACATACTGATTGATAAGAAAAAAATTCCTGAAGACACTGAAGATATGTTTGAGGATTTTCTTAATTGCAATAAATAGCATTTTTCTAATGAAAGTGAATTTTATGAATACAAGGGTGCATTTTAAAAGGCTTTCTGATTTATGCTTTTTACATGAAGCTGCTGACCTCAAGGAAAAGGGATGAAATCAAATCCAGTGAACTCAAGTTTTTTTCTTTTTCTTTCTCCTGTTTTTGTTTTGTAATTTTTGTGTGTGGGGTGGGTGGGGGGAGACCAGTACTGTCTAAACTCTGCAGACTGTACGCTCCTGTACTAGACTGTAAGCTCTCTGAGGGCAGTCTTGGTGAGGGTACCCTTGCATACTCCCCAGTGCCTGGCGTAGTGAGTGCCTTGCACACCTAGTAGGCGCCCAATAAATACCAATGATGAATGGCATCCTTGTCTTTCTGGTGGGACCAGACCATGGGGACAGTCACCTCCTTTGCTTTGTGAACACTGCCATTTCATCCTTGAGTTTCTGTCCATTAGCTCTGACTCCTCCCCTTCCGGCCCGGTAGTGCCCATCCAGGCAGGTGGCACCTTGCTCCCACTGCCCTTGGTGGGAGCCAAGGGATAGTGGTTTGGAAAAAAGGCTGATGTGTAAATACCTTTCCTTTAAAATGACACAAGAAAACCACAACACAGACTGACTATTATTTATTTATTTATTTTTTATCTTCACCCGAGGACATTTTTCCATTTTTTGTTCAGATAGAGTACGAGGGGAGAGAGAGAGAGAGAGAGACATCGATGTGAAAGGGACACATCAAGTGATTGCCATCCGCATGACCCAACCAGGGCCGGAGACAAACTGCAACCGAAGTACATGCCCTTAGTGGGAACTGAACCCGGGTCTCTCTGGACCGCAGGCTGACGCTCTAACCACTGAGCCAAACCAGCCAGGGCCACAGACTGACTTTAAAAGATCCCTGGTCTGGGTCCTGTGGGAGGCAACCAATCCATGTGTTTCTCACATCAATGTTTCTCCCTCCCTCCCTTCAACTCTATCTAAAAATCAAAGGGAAAATGTCCTAGGATGAGGATTAACGACAACAAAATCTCAGGATGGCTGTTTGGCTCCTGGAGAGCGGGGTTGGAATGCACAGCGGGCCCCCTGCTCCTTGGCCTGCGGGGGACCAGGGTTAGGACGGGCTGCGTTTCCTCTTAGAATAGCTATGAGTTTCTCAGAAGAGGGACAACACCTACCAGTGAACTAGGACAAAACAACAGAAACTCCCATAAAAGAAGAGAAAATCCGTTGAGTTTAGAAGGTAATTTTTTTTTTTATATTTTATCCTAAGTGTGTTTTATCTACAACAGTGTAAAAGGTCAACTAAATTTTGCTTTTGTGTTTGTTTTCTCCAAATCTGGGCAACCCTATGTCAGAGCTTGTCCTTAGACATTCCCTCTTGTCCTTTTGTGGCAGGATAGTAAGAAGCTAGGAAAGTTCTGGGCAGGTGGAACGGAGACATTGAGACAAGAAAGTTCAACAAGGCCAGACAGTTGGGCAGCTTGCAACCAGCTTGTGAATCCCAAGACTTTATCTTCCCCAGCCAAGGACACCTGAGAGCAAATGGTTTATACCTTCCTCCCTAACCAGAGAATACATAGCTCAAGTCACCCTGGCTTGGGAAAAGAGAGAGCGAAGAGCCAGTTAATGCCATTTGAGCCAG